TTTTTTCTTGGTCTTACCTATTTTCGTCATGTATCTCTGAATTCTAATTCTTTTGAGATAAGGTGAAAGACTCAGCATGATATTCCAACATAAGATAGATCACTGGATTGTTTCACTGTTTTCATATTAAGAGTTCTAGAAAAAAAGATCACATTCTTGATGGTGAGTACATAACTAGAACGGTCTTTTTTAAAGTTAAAGCTAGGTATTGAATTTAGCTTGCTTGCTTTTATTTCTTTAGGAGCCCATAAGGAGCATAACTGACTTCCATTATTTCTTCTGATGGATTATTTTGAATGTATCATCGTGAAATTTTACCTACAATGTTCTTCTACTCTTCTCTGGGTAGATCTCTGATTTTTCTCCTGGTTTTATCTAAACTGCATACAGCGAGTATCTGTAAACGCTGAAATATGTTCCCTTCAGCATTTCCTGTAATTATATCAGACTATATCTCAGATAAAAGTATGACAGCATTTCTCAAGTTATTACTTTGATGTAAATTGTAGTAGTCCGCTGCATGAACTTCAGGGGAATTCCAAGCCTATACCAAATCTACTGCTACCAGCCTCACACTGAAGATTCAGACAGATAACCCCTCATCTGCATTTTAAAAAGTTGTAATGCTTCTACAAGACTACTACAATAATTTAAAACATCAGATCCAACCCCCTAATCGTGAATGGCCCTGAAATTTGGTTGAACGGAAATCTAGATTTTCATTTGGAGAAACAGGAAGATAAACAGTCATTTACAGACACCATTAAAATGTGTCCGAATACACTTTACAATTTGTGAACATTAAACAAAAGTCACTTAGGCTTAAAATAAGCCCTCTGAGGTTTACAACTCTAAAATGAAACCAGTGAAGCAAACCATTGATACATCTTAACTCTTCTGCTCAGTGGAAAGTGCCTTGATGTACTGGAGTGCCTTACTAGAAAGAATAGTAACAAAGTTTTGAAAGTTTTGTAGAAGTAATGACGACAGAAAATGCCTGCGGGTATAGAAAGCAACATAATAAACGTTTTCCTGCTCCTATATACATTTTGCACTACCCTTCCTCTAAAATAGACCCTGCATGTTATTTTTTTGCTTAAGAACCAAACAAAAACAAGCTTTAGAATTGTGAGAAAACCTGAAAGGCGTCAAAATGAACGTGGAACCAAATGTGGCAAATACCCCAAATTCTCTGTGAAGAACAGCCTAACAGCACACAGTTAAGTACAGCAGTTTAATCTTTTTCTTAAAATTCTCTGGATAATTAGGAAATGTAGTCAGCGTAGAAAGCTGTACTGTCAAACTGATTTGGTTACTGTAATCGAAGTTCATTTACAACATACAGGGGCAAAAATTAAATTACTTAAAAGAAAAAAAAAAAAAAAAGGGAAACAAACCAGTAGAAGTCTTTTATTCAGTAGGAGTTACATAGGTCTAATTCTTATTTTCTGTTTATAAGGGGAATTTTTCATGTTCATTCAAATATTTAATAGTGAAACTGAAAGGATGTTGTAGTTAGTGCAGCCTACATGTATTTGGATAACAGCAGACTAGAGGATGACTTTCAACCACTCATTTTCCGCTCAAAATATAAATGAGGCATAGATCTGGTTTCAGATTCTTGTTGGGAGATTCAAGGTTTATTATTAATTTTTATACAAAAATGAATGATGTTTTCATAAGTGACTGGACTTTTCTACCTGCAGAAGAGAAGAATACTTAGAAATACGTTTGTTAGGGGTGAACTGATTTGTGTGCCTTTATAAAACATTAATATGTCAATGATGGTGTTAATTTGGGTAACAGATCTCTAATGCCACGCTACTGTTCACCATCATGGAAAAGAAAGCAAAAGGTGAAATGGTGTATTTTGGATTGAGTGGGAAGACATCCATGTTCAGTGGTAATGGTGCGCTAGAGAAAGGAAATAAAGGTCAAGAATGGAAGCATACACTTCAGTATTTAGGATATGGACCAGGGAGAATGCATTTTGGCTACGCCATCCGTAAGGAGCTCTCCAGTTGAACATTCCTCTAGGTTACCGATGTAGAGTGCAGAAAGGATCTTTTAGGCATGAAGCATAAGCAAGTGGGTGTTTAAGACCATTTTGGTGTGAAGCTATTTAGCTAAATTGTAGGTTATTGTTTAAAGCTGCAGAAGGAATTTACTCAGGGTAGTATTGTATTTTGACACATTTGGTTCCTTACGCGGATATGTATTATACAAAATAACAACAGTAAAAAAAAACAAAACAACAAAAAAAAAACTTGGCTGGCTCCATAATAACATCACTCTTCTCACCCTTGACAAATTAATGGTTGGTTTCAAGAGTAAGAACCAACAGTCAGAAAAAGAGGAGCAACTGGTGGTGATAATTCCCTTTTGAGGGGGGAAAAATGAAAAAAAAATCAACCAAGAAAGCTTAGTGAATGCTTTATGTTGCTCACACAACCTACCCCCGCTCCCCCAATATTGTGATTCAAGTATTTAGCTACATTGTCCGGCTTGGCAATTTACAAGCCATAAATACTTTCCTTTGTCTATAAAGAAAAGACCAGATTTCATGAGAAACAGAAAGCATTTTCATATCAAACTGCAGCCAACATGTAATGCATTTTCTGGTTGCAAGATTGCTAAACTACACTGATAACTGATATAAAGTATAATGAAGGAAGCATACAAATTAAAAGCAAACAAACAAAAAATTACCAAGACACACAAATCGAGAAGAAATCAAAGATACTACATTTTTATTTACCAAACATAAGCAGTAATCCAAGAGCATTCTCCCGAACATATCTATATTTGGATACTTTTAGTGCCAAACACGTTCTGAAAAAAAAAAAAAAAAAAAAAAAGGAAAAAAAAAGCCAACATAGCTAGGAAAAATTTTAAAAAGTCTTTGCATCAGTCCATAACTAAGTTTTCAGCTTTATTAAAAGCAAAATCTAGTAAACTTTATTATTTTTTTAAATTATTTTAGTGAACATGTATGTATATTCAAATTGGAAAGCTACAAAAATATAATGGGACATTTAACATCAGCAAAAAGAATGTGCAATAATATCAGATGTTAAAACAATCAAATTATCAGATTAAAAAAATCTGAGATTTTCCTTTTTGTTCTAACAATTGTTATATCTGAAGAAGGAAAGTAATTCCACTTTTTTTTTTTTATGCCAATTTTTACAGAGTGAAAACATCTCTTAAAAAACATTAAATTTCAGTGACAGAGTAGAAGAGATGTATTTTTACTTAAGGATAATGTAAGGTGACAAGATCACTCGAAAGGAAGGGAATTATTTGAAAGCCCTACACTCAAGATTGTAAAAATTCAGAGATGAGGGTATTTTTCTCCACTAGTGTATGTAACAAAAACATCCTCAATTGAATTGCATCAGGGAAAAAAAAAAAAAGCAACAAAAAAACGCCCTGTTAATCTCTGAAAAAAAATTAACGGAATATTTATTACTGCTGCAGGAATTGTTAAAACTCTAACATGCATCACCAAACAATAATAACGCTGCATCTTCTCTTGTGGCCATTGTGACTTCCGTGTTAAGCCACATATAAACAACATCAACAAAATCAGATTTTATCTGTAAGGAGAAGAGGAATGTATGTTTGTAAAAGCTGCTCATTAATTAGTATTTGTAGCACTGCTGTGGTCGGGCTTGAGTCGGGGACTGGGATTCCATTTTGCTAGGTGCTCTAAAAAAAATTAAATGAAAGACACAATCCTTATTTTAGTCTCAAAACACACGAACATTTTGATTCTGTGGGCTGTATTTTAATCTGCATCAGGAAAAGTTACAAGCTGCCAAAGGAACGGGGAAGTTCGATATATTCAGGGCAGTTTTCCTCTACTTTCAGACTCGTCGACCGTTAAAAATTCTCAATTCCTTGGTTTATAGGTTTAGTGATGTCATATTTAAGTATACGTTCTTATATGTAAACACCAGGGGAAATTAAAATGTTAATCACATTATTCGTGTAGCCCTTTGTTGTGAGAACCACCTACGAGGTATTACGATACATATTCCACATAGCTAAGAAAGAGACTCCAGTCGCTTTATTTTTTTTTAATCTTTATTAGGCGGTAAATGATTTCATTGCCATCTCACTTATTTCAAGTGTTTGTCTGTGGTAAAGCCGAGGCAGAGCATGGTTATTGTTGCAAAAGCCGGGGAAAGGGAGACATCCAGACATTTTGTAATTTAAAAGCGAGGGAAGCTGGAGATGAACCCATCGGGCACAGCACATCGGGTGCTGCTGCTTCAGGGAGATCTGCGCCGGGGAGCGCTTCTACCCTCGATTATAGACCGCACTAGAGTAGGATTTTAAGGTTTGGGTTTTTTTTTTTTTAGGGTATTTGATGATTGTACACCAAAAGGCACGGGAGCTGGGCTCCTGCTGTATAAACCCAGTTGTTAATCCCTCTTTGTGAGGTGACTGGGAAGAAGCGAGGGAAAGCGGCGAGGTTTTAGCTCCTCTCCCTGCCCTCCTCTGTCCGCGCAGGGAGGCAGAGGGGCGGCTGCGGCCAGCTGGGTGCCCAGCACAAAGCTGCGGGCCCAGAAAACACGGATTCAACCCGATTTGGCCCCAAATTACAGCGGGGAGGCCCGAGGGCTCGTTGCGCCCGCTGTATGTCTGCCTGGTTCCCGTGCCACCTCAGGCTCTCCTGGCCCGGCCGGTTACCCTCCCTACCAGCCCCCTGTGTGAAAGCCGGACACGTTTTTTTGCTAAAATCGCCGCTTTTTGCCCCGAAAGCCGCTCCTCCTCGCAAGGCCGCGGCTCGACCCGAGAGCGCCCGGGCTCGCGGCGAGCCATGAGGCGGGCGGCCCGCCGCGCTCCTCACCCCCTATTTTTACAGATTTTCCCCCATTTTCACCTAACCAGCAGCGGGCTGCGCTTTGTTTCCCCCTTCCCGGGCCCGAAGGGGCTCTCAGCACGCCCGGGGGCCGCGTTTTGGGGCCCCCCCGGGGCCAGCCCCGCGTTACCTCCGCTGGTCCGGCGGCTCCGCTCCCGGGCGAGGCGAGGACAGCGAGCAGCGCCCTGAGGAGGAGGAGGAGGAAGATGAGGAGGAAGATGAGGATGAGGAGGATGAAGATGAGGAAGGAGGAGGATGAGGAGGATGAGCTCAACCTAGAGGCGCCCCCGTGGCAGGAACCTGGCGCCCACACACGAGGCTGGGAGGGTGGGGGGGGGGTGTTTTTTTGTTGTTGTTTTGGGGTTTTTTAATGTTTTTTTCTCTTTTTTTTTGTCCTAAAACCAGCACGCCTGACTTATGCGCGGGCGCCGGGGGGCACCGGAGCCCTCCCCCCTCCCCCTCGGGTGGGGGGGCGCTGCCTGAGGCAGGGGGGAGGGAGGAAGAGGAGGAGGTGGAGGAAGAGGAGGAGGAGGAGGAGGGCCGGCCTTCAGCCCGCCTCCCCAGCGGGGCCGCGCTCCCCGGGGGCATTTTGGCTTCGCTCGCTTCCCGTGGCTGCGCCACCGCGGCTCGGCAGCCTCCAGCCTCGGCGGCCCCTCCTCCTCCTCCTCCTCCTCCTCCTCCTCCTCCTCCCCCTCCTCCCGCTCCCTCCGTATCCCTCCGCGCTCCGGCCGCCCTCTCCCTCCCTCCCTCGCTGCCGGCGCAGAGAAAAGCGCCGCTCCGACACCCAGCGGCCCTCCCGCCCCGCCATCTTCTGCCCGAGCACACTCACACACACACACTTACACACTCATTTACACACTCACTCACACAGCACGCGGCTCCCTCCCTCCTTCCTCTCCCCTCATCCTACGAGGGCAGGAGGAGCGACACCCCCCCCCCCCTCTTCCTTCCTCCTCCTCCTCCCTCCTCCTCCTCCATCTTCTTCACGGGGGCCGGGGGCTCGGGGGAGGGGCGGCGCGGCGCCAGGGGCCGGCGGGGCTGAGGTGGGGGGCGCGGAGGGAGGAGGAGGAGGAGGAGGAGGGACTCTTTCTCCGGGCGGAGGGATCGCGCGTGTGGCTGGCTGCTGGCGGCGCGGGCGGCCGCGAGTTGTTGTTTCCTCCTCCTCCTCCTCCTCCTCCTCCTCCTCCTGCCGCCGCCGCTGCCCGCCCGGGGCTCGAATGGTGGAGCCCGGCCTCGTCCCGCTCCGCTGACAGCCGCCGGCCGGCCGCTGGGCCCCGGCGCTGCCGCGGGAGCGCGGCCCGACCCCCCCCCCTTCCTCCTCCTCCTCCTCCTCCCCCCCGCCCACCCCCCTCTCCCTCCTCCTCCTCCTCCTCCTCCTCCTCCTCCTCCTCCTCCCGCCGCTCCGGTCCTCGCCTCGCCATGTCCGGGGACGGCGGCAGCAGGCACACGGCGGAGCTGCGAGCGGGTGAGCGCTGAGGGGGGGGACGGGGAAAGGAGGGAGGGAGGGGGGAAAAGGGGAAAAAATCAAGGCGAGAGAGAGGGGGGCTCCGCAGCCCTCAGCGCCTCTCCCCGCTGTCCCCGCAGAGCTCTACTTCCTCATCGCCCGCTTTCTGGAGGACGGACCCTGCCAGCAAGCGGCTCAGGTAGGGGCGGATGGCGCCGCCGGGGCCTGCCAGGGATGGGATGGAAGGGAAGGGGGCGGCCGGGCCGGGCCCCAGCCGAGGGCCCTCCCTTCCCTTCCCTTCCCCTCCCTCCTTCCCCCAATTTATCGATTTTATTGTCCCCGTCCCCCTTTTGTTGTCGCCGCAGGTCCTGATCCGAGAAGTGGCGGAGAAAGAGGTAAGCGGCGCCGCTCGCCCCGCCCGCGGCCTCACCCCCCTCTCCCTTCCCTTCCCCTCCCTTCCCTCCACCCTTCCCCTCCCCTCGCCCCCTGCCCGCTGTTTGGGGGCGGCGGGGGGGTGCTCACGGCTCTGCCCCCCCCCTGTTTGTGTCCCCCCCCTCCTGCAGCTGCTGCCCAAGCGCACGGACTGGACGGGCAAGGAGCACCCGCGCAGCTACCAGAACCTGGTAAGGCAGCGGCCGCCGGCCCGGCTCCGGCTCCTCCCTTTTCCCTTTTCCCTTCCCCTCCTCTCTCCCTTCAGCAGCCCGAAAAATTGAATTTCCCGCAAAAAAAAAAAAAAAAAAAAAAAAGACGACTTTAAAAAAAAAAAAACACACACACACACACACACACAAACTTCAGGGCTTTATCATTATTATTTATTTTATTTATTTATTTATGTTTAACCGGGCCCTTCCCTTCGCGTTGTTTGTTGTCCCCCCCCCCCTCCCCTCAGGCGGAGGCGCGCAGCCCCCCCCAGCCCGGCGGGGCGCGGGGCCGCGCCCGCACTGCGCGAGCCGCGGAGGCGCTGCGGACGTCACGGCCGGGCCGCGGGGGGAGGGGGCGGGGCCTCGCGCCTCCGGGGGGCGGGGCCTCCCCGCGGGTGGGCGGGGCCAGCGGGATGGCGGGAGGCGGGGGCGCGCCCGCTGCCCGCCCGTGCACACGCAGCCGGGCGCGCTTTTTGCACGCCGCTGTGCACACGCACGGCCTCGGCCTCGCCGTCGCTCCCCCAGCTTGGGAGCTGCAGCTGGAGGCGTCCCCGGCTCGCTCCCCAGGAGCCCCGCGGGGCTTGCTGCTGCTTGTGCACCAGGAGAGCCGGAGCGGCCAGGCGCACAGCCCAGGTTTGCTGCACTTTCTTGCCTTGTTTTCCTCTTTTTCCCCCTTTTTTTTCCTTTCCTTTTTATCTTTTATCTCCCAGTGTGTGCTTTGCATCTCAGGTACAGATCTGTTATAGAAAAGGTACTAAATCCCCTTACTTGGCACAAGTCACTCCCTTGTTGTGTCTTATCCTTTAAAGAGGTGGAGGTGCAGTCTCAGTGTCTGGTGGGTTTGGGGTTCTTTTACGTAGCCAGTATAAAAGAGGATGTAAAGACAGAAAGTGAAAAGAAAGAAATCTTAAAGGTAAGAAGCTCTAATGACAAGTTCATTCAGACCCTTCTGTGTTGTAATGCAGATGGATACTAACTTCAGGCCTGTCTCTGCTAGCATCAACATACACATTTTTTCTGTTATCCTGTGAACTATAGTAGTTGAGAGGACAGCAATTAAGATGTCTGAGTTGTGCCTGTTAGCAGCTTGTTGCCCCTATTGTTTTTGTTACAGGTGCGCTGTTGTATAATTCAGTCTCTGAATTTCTGAATAACGTTTCAGGGGAAGAGTGAGCCCTGCTTGTAGTGTTCATCAAAGCAAGGTTTCCCTTTGAGCTTTTGGGATGTTTGTAGTGGTTCTGACCTCCACAACTGAGATCTAGACATGTAGAGAACTTTTGAGCTCATGAAAAAGGAGAGGGAACAGCTCCCATCCATAATGCAGCCAGTAAACACCGGGTCATGTGAAGGTTGTTTTGAACATGCATAGGTGAACACGACAATGTGAATTATGGACTTTTCTTTCGGTTGGAACAATTTATTTACTGTATTTCTTTTTCCTGAACCCAGAGGTGAATGCATGTGGTTGTCGAAGGCCGTGTTTTCCATTTCAAGCACCAGTCACAAGCTGAGTGGTAAAACTTGGCACAAGTCACTCCCTTATTGTGTTTTATCATTTAAAGAGGTGGAGGTGCAGTCTCAGTGTATGGTGGGTTTGGGGTTCTTTTACGTAGCCAGTATAAAAGAGGATGTAAAGACAAAGTGAGAAGCAAGAAATCTTAAAGATTAAGCTAAGAAGCTCTAATGACAAGTTCATTCAGACCCTTCTTTGTTGGGATGCAGATGGATACTAACTTAGAATAGGTGTGTAATGACGTGAGGTGTACATCTCGTAATTTGGACTTGATTCTGAATCCACGTGCTCGTGGTAATTGGATCCATATGGTGGTAATTGGGTCCCTTCTCTTTTCCTACTTTTCTTAACAAAGCTTTCTTAGACTGGCGGTAAACATTTGTGTGTCCTTCTCCACTTTGCCCCTACCTGGAAACTGGGGGAGGAGAGAAAAAGCAGTTGGTTACTTTGGTACTTCTCTTCTTCCTGAATGTTTGCTCTGGCTTTGGTTGTCAAAGATGTGTGAACTTAGTATCACTTGACGTTTTAGGTTTGTGAAAACTGGCACAGAAGTGCATTTGCAAGGTGAAGGTTGTTTCATACAAAAGAAGTGTTTTTCACAATGTCTTGTACTCATTAAACAAAAACTCATTTAACTCCAACTCAGGAATCTTTCGCTGCGAAGCTAGAAGTTGATGTTGATTTAGCCCCATGTTCTTTCATTCCTCTAATGATAACATAGCAATAATGTATCCATATCTTTTTTTTCTGCCTTTAAGATGCTGACTTTTCTTTCTGCAGAGGGCATGTTTTGTCATGTGCTGGCACCGTTCCTCTGACTTGAATACCTTGAACTTGCACTAAACTTCACAGAAAGGGCTGAGAAAAGCTAAGAATCAAAAGTACCGATCAGTGTGACTCAGTGTAACGTTAGGAGCCCGACTTTTACTCTGGAAGGGAGTAAAGGCTCTGTGCAACAGCTGATGGGATTTAACCCCAAGCTTCTGTTCTATTATTTGCAAACCCATGCCATTTATTATGGATGTAATTATGTGGATCTAGTGGAGCATATCTTTTCAAGATATTGTTCCTGGTTTTGTCATCTTTTTGAAAACATTTATTTATTATAAGAGTTAACTTTCAAATATTAAACCAAAACATGTAGTCTTAATATATTTTATTTCTGTGGCTTAACTTGTGCAAATAATCTTAAATTGGATGCAGTTTTCATCTCGTCAATTACTTAAATTTTTCTCTTTTGGCCAGTGAAAACAAACATTTCATTTTCTTATAAGCTAACACCACGCTGTGCGGGCTTGTAATGCCACAGGGAAATGCATGAGTTCAGAAATGCTCTTCTGTGGTTTGTTTTCTTCAGTGTCTTGAACTCTAGTATTTCTATGTATATTTATATATATATTTTTTTTTCTGTAGTCACTATTTGGAGCATAAACTACTTGATTCTTGCTCTGAGGTTGAGATCTCTTATTCCAGAGTGCCAAGTCAGTGTTTCTTTTGCCAGCCCTACACCTGTGCGCCAGGGCCAAAGACTTTCTGCCAGTTGCATCCCTGGTGCATAGCATACAGCCTAAGTACCAAGGGCACCCAGACTCCTCAGGTCTCAGGATGTTTTTATTTTCATGTATCAGCTGTGAAAACTTACTGAACTGCTATTTTTCTTTTCTTCTTGAGAGGCAGAGGATTCCCCCTGATGGGGGATGAAAATTGAGGGCTCTTGAGAGGGTTAATAGCTCACTTGAGCAGAGTTGAGGGAGCCTTCTGAATTGCTGATAGGCTTTAAAACATGTTTATTAGGGCCCGGACACACAAACAAGCTCTGGTGCATCATTTGACTCCGGGGTAATTGTTTTTTCATGTTGCAGTTTCGCTGTGGGTGTAGCTGATCTAATTGTGTGCTGTTGCTGAAAGCCATCCAGTCCCGCTGCATCCTTTGTGTGCTCATCCAAGTGTGCAGGCAGTCAGATAAGGGAGCTGAACCATCTGAGAAATGAGCAGCACAACGATGATTTTCAGATGATTCAGCTGGCTCCGCGCGCTCAGCACCACGTGGGCCTTACACCGTCAGGAGGGAGATGGTCAGAGGGCCTGGGGGATCTGCTGGGGATGTTGCTTTTCGGGGCAAGCTGGACTTTGGCTGGCTGAAGGTGACTTCAGATTCACTGTAGCCATTCAAAGCTATCACAGGGATGTTTTAGGTCTTCTAGGGTACAAGCACCACAGGGTATACACTCAGAACTATTGTGTTAACTTATCTGAGATATTCAGGTATCTGTGATTTTCTCTG